ATATTGATATAGGATTTCAATATTTAATACGTTATTTATCAAGTGAAATATATTCATATTAATGTAAAAACTGTTTACAATTCTTATTAAATTTTGGAGTTTGCTAATCGCAAACTATTGAAATAATCTAAACGATAAAAATCATAAATTAAAGAATTCATCTAGAACATTATTTTAAACAACGAATCAGTAATATATATTTTATCTTTTCTCTTTAATATAACATACTTGTGCTTTTGCACGAATATCGATTTGAATATTGAAAAAATAAAGTAAAAAGCTAGATTATGGATGCATATTTATTAAAATTTTTATAGTATCGGTTGGATAATCTGGGTCGACCTCTCGGTCTTCCCTATTTATCACTCTGCCTTGATGTGGTATAAAATATAAAAGACATTTTCTCGATGATTTTATTTTAAAAGCTTCTTATAAGCTTGATTTTGATCATAAGTGACCAATCGCATTTTAATCAAAAAAAGATCAAAAATCAAAATATTTATCTTAATTGATTATTGGTAAGCTACGTACCAATAATCATCATCAACCAATCAAATTTGATCATAAAATTGATCAAACTTCAAATATTACAAATAAGGCAAATCACAATAGTAAAATGTCACAAAAATCATTTTTACTATTTTTTTGAGATAGAGAGATAAAAATGTCCAATCAAAATATTAAACAATTTTTCATCAGAAATCTCTATTTCCGATTGTATCTTTTTGGTATTTATTATGTGACTTGAACCTGCAATAATCTTTTCCTGCATCTTTTTCTCTTCTTATTTGTAGTAGATTTCTTTTGTCAGTGTAAATATACAATTTTTATTAAAAGTCAGAAAATAATGTATTTTAGCTGCAGAGAGATGTTTCAGATAAAACAAAGTATTCTGACAAACACACATTTTTTTACAACTATGTAGTATGACACATCTACTATCTAGTAAAATATGGGCTACAAAGTTTTTTATAATGTTTAGTCTATAAGCCCTTACGTTTTGTTCATTATAACTCTGACAGCTGTTTTTAGTCCTTAGAAATGTTATAGATTTTTGAAAAAAAATATCGCGATTTTCTCCCCATATTTCTCGATTTTCTTCCTCAATAATATTAATATTGTCGAAGTAATGATAAAATAAAAATATAATTAAATTGTATATTATCGTACAGAAAAGATGCTCTTAATAAAAACTTAATTATTGTGTGTTTCTGTATTAATCATTTAAATATATAATATACTTTAATATTTACTATTTTGAAAACATTTTTAGAGATAAAATGATACATTGTTATAACATTTTCTATGGAATCTTATCATTTATATATTGCGAAACCTAATTAAGGTCTTTTTAGCGTTATTCATGAAAAAATTATGCAAAGGCTTCTAACTGAGGATAGATAGAGAACAAAGACTACTAAAATATATATTATGCAAAAACTTTTAGTTCTTTTACCTAAAATTACTCTCCCTACGAAGAGCATCACAATTATTTTTGTATTTTTATATTGAATATTTTGTTTTGCTGAAAAATTCATATAACACAAGAAAAAAATATTTTGACATGTATAAATGAACATAAAATCAAAGTTAAATTTTTATGATCTGAATTTTTATTATAAAAAATATAAAAATTTATATAATAAATTAACATGTCTTCATTTTTTGATATATATATGTGTGTGTGTGTAAATTTTCAATAGTAAATTTAAATATGTTTTAATACGATTTCGCTTCATTAAACACAACAAATGGGAGAAATGAAAATTTTCTTTTTATCAATCGAACAAAGTATGAGGTAGAAATTGAGGAAATATTAGAAAAGCAAAAAATCGAATATGTTAAATTGACATAACAGATACTCTTAAATAAGGTATATATAAAAAAAATTTAAAATTTCGCAGAGCAGAAGAAAAACATACTTTTTCTTCAAAAATCGAAAATAAACAACATTTGAATAACTAATTTATACTTATTGTATTTTTTTCTAAACATATGATAATATGATCGATAATAATGATAAATTGAGAAGTTAGAGGTCATTTTATACTTCAAATCATATTGTTTATTTTAAATTGATCAAATTCTTTCCATTTTGTTTTGAAAAAAATGATATAAAGTAAAAAGTATATTTTTTAAAATAAAAAAACGGTTATATATAATTTAAAAAAATTTCAACTTTAAAATATATACGGTTATATATTACATATTAAAAAAAAATCAACCATAAAATATATAAACTACTTAATATGAATGTTTTTTGAGTCTACTTCATCACATATTAATGAACATGTAATTTTTTTCTTATTTTTTACAAGGCCATTCAATTTTTAGTAAAAGTAAAACAAACTATTTTAATATAAAGCATTTTTAATATTTTTTTTGTGTTATTTGCTGCATTTAAAATTAAGAATATTAAAAATAAAACGAGAATAAGAACTTTTAGTATTATATATTTTATTCAAGTTTTTTATCTATCCGGCAGCATTTTGGGCCGGTAAACCATACATCCACTTTTTTTCGGCAGTGTAGCTTTTTTTACTTGTTCGTGCAGTTCGAGTATTTTTCCTAGGATTTCAAAACAATTTAATTAAAATTCGCAATTTTTATGCGCTTACTTTGCAAAAGTGAATAACCTTTTAGATGATTTAGTAAACTTTAAAATATAAAATTATATCTTTTAAATCTTGTTATATTTCAAAACTAAAAAATATTTTTAAGAAGTTTTTTTTTGCTATGAAAAAAATGCATTTATATTTATTTAAACCTTTTCTTAATAACCCATGTTCAATTGAAATAAAAAAAAGAGCATAAATATAATATAGTTTTTCGGCTAGTTCTTATGATTTTATTTTTCGGTCTTTTTATAATTTTTTTCTATAATCTAATGATTTGAAATAATAAAAAAATATACATTTAATTAAGCTAAATTAAATCAAAATTAGACCTCTTGTCAATGTATTCATGCGCATTTAATAAAATAATAAAAAAATTGTTGTGGACGTTAATTTTTATTACAAATGTATCTGTGAGAGAAGGATAAATTTTTTTTAAACTCTTAGGAGGTAAATTGGAAAGAAATTTATAATTATTTTCTCAAAAATATATTAGAATTATAAATTAATGTAAAATGGTTTCAAATTAATGAAATAAAGATGAAACAATACAAACCATTAAAAATAATAATTTATATAAAAGATCACAAATATCTACTAATGAGGTAAAGCTTTCGCCTTTTTCTCCTCTCAGCATCAATAGTATCAAATATTTTTTAAAATTGAATCTCAAAGAAGAAAAGTATGAAGAACGAATTCACAATTCAACCACATTATGATTAAAACTATTGGGAAACAAATTACCAACTAGACCAATGTTTTGAATGCAAACTACAAGATTAAATGCTTTAGTCATTATTTTTTTCTAATAACCTATTTCCTCATGTATGAGAAGCTCGACAGTTGTTATTATAATTTTTAAAATCGATAAAAAACCGCATTTTAAATTTATATCGTAATATTAATATTTTATGTGTAAAAACCATCTTTCTGGTTCTAATATTTATTAAAATACTTTATTCAAACCTTTTTTTATAGAATTTTAATTGATATAAACAAACATGGCCACATAAGGTCATCTTTAATTTTATATTTTGAACAAATCGAAATTTTCAGTTTTTTTGTATAATAATAGTTTATCAAGCAATAATATCAGTTAAGAGATGGTAACGATCAACGGAAAGAAACATCATTCATTATGAGTAAAACTTAAAGTATAAAAATGAATACGGATTTGATCGGTCCATTTTTTTATTAAAAAATATAACCTTAAGCAGATATAGTGAATAATTCAAGTGAAATATGCAAAATTTGTTCACATTTATGACAATATTTCAATTTAATAATCACTTGATTGTTTGGCCATTTAAAAAATTGCTTATTCAATAAAAAGGTCAATCAGATGTTATTAAAATTTGTTTGATAGCACAGAACATACCATGAAGTCGCAGTTGATACTTTTATTGTACTAAAAAATTTTGAGCTGAAAGCTTGATGAACAGCAACTATTTATTTTTTAAACTCTGAATTATTTTAAAAATAAAAAATAAAAGATACTTGTTTTCTATGCTATTTTTGATCTTTTAAATTATCTAATGCACAAATCGCTAATTTTTTGGGCAAATATTATTATTGATAATTTAAATATTAAATATAAAAAAAGTTTTCCAATTTTTTAGATATTCATTTGACATCAAAGTTTTAGTTTATATGATTTCCAAATTTTTTAAATTTGGTGAAAAATATACAATTACTAAAATTCCGATTCTATTTATTGTGTTTATGAGTTTTTCACAAGATGATACGAATTTTTTTTGCACTCTTTGCGATGCAAATAATCCGAAAAATATTTTATGCTTTCAGAAAGTTGAAGATGTGGTTCTTAAAGCCCAATACCTTTTTTGTAGAATGAAGTTAGAAATTGAATATTTCGTTAAAATAGTATTTTTAAACATTCGCAATTGAATTAATACCACTTTTTCGCGGAAAATTTCGGAATAAAAAGTAAATTTACACAAATATCATTTCATTCAAAATATAACTAAAATATAAAGTGTTTTCATTTTAATTCATGTTTCGAAACAAAATAAAAGAGACTTATAATATTTAAATTGTACCTTATTTGGTTGATGGCCGTGTGCTTCGTTTTTAGCTTTCAGAATTTTTAATTTTCAAAAAATGTGCAGTAAATATATCTGCAAAAATATGGTTTTGATTTTATCAAAAAATTTTGATGAGTGTTTTATGTAATCTGTTGAAAAATTATGTGAAAACGTCTGTTACATCGATAAAAAATACACATATTTTGATGCCTAGGTGAATTAAAATTTTTATCTAAGTGAAACTAAAAAAATTATGGTGTTTATGTTTTAGTTTAAAATAGCGCAGTTAGATACATTATGTAATGAAGATAAGTTTAAAAATCATACACATTTGTAAAAAGTTCGCCTCTGGTCGGGCTCGAACCGACAACCTTCCGGTTAACAGCCGAACGCGCTAACCGATTGCGCCACGGAGGCTTGAAAGATTTATTTCGTTTAAATATCTAAAAACAATGACAGATAAATTAACTAACCATTACATTAATCCAATTCAGTAAACACATTAAAGTTATTTGTGAGTTAGTTTAATGAATAAATATTATTTATTATGTAAATTATATTCTGTGTTAATATCAATTATGAAATATATTGCCCAATTTTGAAAGGGGTTGCAATAAAAATAGCACATATTATAAATCAATGAAAATTTACATAATTAATATTGAACTCAACCTTGCAAATATCAATAAAGAACCATTACAAAAATATACTTATTTTTTTATCTGATTATCAAAACAAATTCAAACAGACGATTTAAAATGATATAATTTATTTTAAAAAAATACAATATTAATAACCCGTTCGGAACATCTTGATGATGAATGCAGTTAGGTATATATTATATTGTTTGAATTTTTTTTTGAATTACAGAAACATATTCTTTATTCAACTGTAATATTTTAATCTATTGCTATTAGTTGATTCATATAAAAATAAACAAAAATTTGAAATTTCAGATTCACTGCAAAAAGTAAAATAATCAAATTATAACAAATCAACTTTATTTTGAATAAAATTGATTTTTTATTGATTAAATAAAGTGCTGTGCGCATAAAAATATGAATAAATAATTAATCTGATACTTATAATAAATTAAAACTATATATACTATAAGAAGCGGTTTTTTTAGTTTTTAGGGATTAAAGAATTATAGGATTTCTGTTCGAAATTGATTATTAGATTCAAAAAAAATGCCCAAGAGCACATTGCAAAATTTACATGATAAAAAGTCTGAAGTTAATCTTTAAATTCATATGTTTATGAAAAACTATAAATAGAATTGATGCAAAATAAGTAAATGGGAATGTTATGAACTATCTTAAAAAGAAATTTTTAGTAGCAGTTTACATTTATTCCTTTCTTTTTGCACTCCGTATTATCATCACATATCTAAGAACACACAATTTTTGCTTTGTAAATGTAAAGCAAAAAATTTAAAATTTTAAACAATTTTTGTGTTTTTATTTTAAGGGAACAATGTATTTTTAAAAAGATAAAAATTTTTAGTAGCATCCATCATATAGTGATTTACACTAAATATATAAAAAAGCCAGATCATTTTTTTTAAACAATAATCTTTACTAAATGAAAGATGATTCTATCTTTTAATTGGACAGAAAAAACTTAACGTGCATCAAGTATCAAGTCTTTAAATATTTAAAAGTTCCCCAATACAGAACAACTATTATTTTATATATAAAAAGAGTATGTTTATTTTGCCTTTTTTTAGAATTTTCTGTGATAACAATACGCACGAAAATTTTATTTTTTTTTTGGAAAACTCCCCTTGAAATATAATTTTTTTCATTTTTTCAAACTATATTAAGCAAAAGAAACACAAGGAAGAAATTATAAAATAAGTAATATGTAAAAATCTAGGAAATATAACCTTTGTTTATCTAGTTTAAACTATAATTTGATTTCATTTTCTTTAAAAATCATCAGTTAAGTCTTCTTAGATTATTGAGAAATGCCTTAAATGTAGTAACATTTCGAGAGAATAAAAAATTATCTTTTTTTATTTTTACAGATTTCAAAATTATTATTTATTTGATTTGTTAAGTAATATTTTTAAAGGTACAACATTTAAATTTCTGCTAATATTTATTGTTTTTTCAATAATCCACATCTTGATTAATACTAAAATTTAATTTTTATGTTGGATTTGTTGTTTATGCTTTAAACATTATTAATTATAGAGATATAAAGTCAATAAAGTGTACCAAAGCTAGAGTTCTGTTGTCTAAAACAATGAATTTTAAAAAATGCGAAATTAGATGAAATTATAATTATGATTTCATTTTAAATACATGTGTATTGTTATTGTTGTCAATTCTGTATCACTTTAAGCAAATATCTATTATATTTTTATAATAATCTTATATTTTATTTCTAATTTAATAACTTATTTAGATAAATTCTAGTTTTAAAAATTTTAACTCCAATGAAAGTATTGATTGAAAAAAAATAAAAATATAATCTGAAAACTGATTTATCATAAAAAGCATACTTTTATAAATTTATAGATAAATATGGACAAAAATTCACTTTTAAATATCCTAATTTATCGTAACTGATAGTACCCTAATCATGAACTGTAAATTTATCTCATGTTTAAGAAAAAGAAAGTATTGATTTGTAAAAATATTTAAAAATAACTAGACAATATAAAAATATATAATAGTTTTTTCGTTAAAATAAATTTTTGGAACAGCAGAATAACTGTTATTGTAACATTTTTTCTTTGAAAATTGTTACAACGAAGGTTTTAAAATTATTAAAAAAATTAATTATGAATTAAATTATATTTTCTTTTAAAATATTTTTAAATTTCGGCTTGCATTTTTTAATAAAAAGTGTTCATGACAAAACAAATATGTTTACTAATTGGATATTTGATATAGAGAACAATGAGTTAAACAGTTACAATTTTCATGGTTTAAGTAAAATTAGTAATTAATTATATCATATTCTTGCTGCTTGAATGAAAGAAAAACAATATTCTATTGAAATTAAAAATTTAATCACCGAAATATCTTTTATTTGTTCATAAAGAATGTTAGAATAACCAAACCCCTATATTATTGAACAATTGATTAGCTGTTTGTTCCATTTAAAAGCTTGTGTTTTTCTGTATTCCTAATTCACCCGATTTTTTATTTAAATCGATTACCGTTTTGCTTTTTTCTGAACGGTTTTTAGAAAAAATATTAGGTTTTCATGCATCTGAAGAAAATACAACAATATTTTTTAGTATATTTAAAGTATAATGTTATTGGTTCCTTAATCCATTTTGCTCTGTTTTACATTAAATTGTGTGTTAAACTACAACCCATATTAATTCATAATATAGTTTTTACAATTTAGATATAATATGTGCTGTATTTGTATAGCTTTTAAAAAGATTTAAACAGAAAAACAGTGTAAAATTATATTCTACATATTACTACAATTTTTTTGGATAAATAATGCATTTAATTGTAATGAAAATTGTTATAATGAGACACTAAACAAACGTATTGAATACAATTTGTTAAACAAATATAGTTAACAAATATAAAGACCTTTTTTCTAACAATCGTAAAATATAATGTAGTTATAACCCCAGAAATGCAACATCGTATAATTTCCCGGTTGTTTAATTTCTAAAAGACAAGTTCAAAAAAACAAAAATAATGTAGGTAACTATCAATCCCATATAATGTCAATTCACTATTTTATAAAATAAAAAAATATATATATTTTAAAGAGTTTCCGTATCTAATTGAATACTTAATGTATCAGAATATTTCGTGCCTAATCTCTTGAAAGAGACGACGTTCTAAACCAAATTAATTAATGAATGATTTGACCCAAAAAGGCCTGTTTACACCAAAAGCAGTAAAACTGCGATTTTTTTTGCAGCAAACATACAACATATAATTATAAAAATAAATATATATTGTTTGTTGGGTTTGAAATTTTTTGAAAAAAAAATTGTTATGAAATGTCGCATAATTTAATGTATATATCAAACATTTTCAACATTTTTCTTTTTTTTAATTACATTCTATTCTAAAATTCTAATATTTTGTAAAATATTTTATATTTGAGGTTTTTTGTATATCTGTTTGTTTATAAATTGAGCATAAACAATTGTAACTATAAAAATATTTTAAGTTTATTTAATAAATAAAATTGTTGAAATTTTACTATGGTTATAATTCTAAACATGTCGCATCAAATTTTTTTGTCTTCTACATATATGGTTTCTGTAATTAATTGTATTTTTTACAGTAATATTTTACGATAAAAATAGTTAAATTTTATATCAAATATTAAAACAAAAAACTTAACTGTTTTAAAACAGATTTTTTCTGTGATGAAGATTAATTTTTAATATATAGATTCAAATGTAAGATAGCTTTAAAATATGTGAGTTTAGATATTTAATAAAATGTGCAAAAAAAAAGAATTAAAAGAATTTTTTTACTAATTTGGAAATTTTAAGTTGATTTAAACTATTTATTTCCATTATTTGTTTTTTAAATAAAAACAACGAAAAAAATTTTAAAAAAATTATTTTTTTTTTAATTATATAAAGCGATTAAATTCATAAAAACTAAGAATGAACCTTTTTTTTAAAAAATAATGTTTTAAAACAAAAGAAAAGAGGATAATGATTTATTTTGTACTACTAATATGTAAAAATTAATTGTATTATTAAATTTGCTATTAGTAATCCAAAAAGGTTACAATAAATTACATAACTTTTTAAATGCAAATTAACTTTAAAAAAACGGTGATTTTTAATCTTAATAAAACAAATTTCTGTACGAATTACCTTACTATATTTCTTTAATGTTTTTTTTCAAATCAAGAATATAGGAATAATTTTTTAAAATACTATAAAGCTTAATTATACTTTTTTAATAAAAAGATTAAGAGTTTTACATTTACTAAGCATTTATTTTACATTATTTAGGCATTTCAATAAAATCAAGAACCAAGTTATAAAATAAATAATAATTGAGGCAACAAGATGAATTACACAAGCGCTGTGTTTGATTCATATCTTGTGCTTAATTTGACTTTTAAATAACATTTTTGATATGTTTATCGTTATATAATTGACACAGATAGCTATGATCTTTCCCGAAAACTTGTAAATTGCTAAATCGACAATAATTTACAATTCAAGATTTAATAAAAGCTTTTTTCAATGCTGAAACAATAAAAAAAATAATTTTTTTCATATTTGTTCATATTAATATTACAAAAAATATATTTCTTGTATTTACATTAAAAAAAGGTAATTTGTTGCCAAATACTTTATAGTCTTAAACAGCAATTTTTTTTGTTTTATACAACATTAAACATTAGATAAATTTTTTTATTCATATATATCATTTAAAAGATATTTGTTTTAGCTGATCTTT